TCCCCCGGCCCCCCCCCCCCTCCCTCCCTGGCTGCTTGACAGCCCTGCTGCGACATCCCCCAGTTCCTTCCCCCGGCCCCCCCCCCCCAGCTCCTCCACCTCCCTGGGACAGACAGCCCCCCCCCCCCACATCCCCTGGTGAGCTGGGAGGCTGTTATTCCTGCTCCCATCCCCCAGAGCCAGCCTCACCTGGCAGGACGTAATCTCAGTCCTCTGCTTCCCTCTGGGACAGCCCTCCCTATCCAGCCCCCAGCCCCCAGCCCAGGTGCTGGCCTCACCTGGGAGGCACGCTCAGAGCCAGCCAGGTCAATCATGAACAGGCGGCCCTGCCGCACCTCCTGCAGGATGTTCTTGACCCGGCTGCGCTGGCGCACGGCCACCTGGAGCACGGCGTGGGAGCGGGAGGATGTCTGGTTGGCGGCCGTGGGCTCCTGGGTCCTCTGCCTGTTCCCCTTCATCAGCAGCTGCATGATCTGGATGGGAGGAAGAGAACAAGGGGAGGCAGCTCTCAGGGGCCCATGGAGATGTTCCTGCAAACAGAAGGAGCCCCTGGGGGCTGGCAGGGGAGGGTCCTGCATCTGAGAGGCTGGCAAAGGGCAGCCTGGCCTCTGTGTGCTGAGGGGCCTGAGCAGGTGGCCTCAGCTCCCTGGAGGCCATGGTCTCTGTGTGAATGTGGAGGCTGCATTGCCTGGTCACTCCCCAGGGTCAGTGCTTTGGGGACGTGATGGTAGGTATGAGTCCCACCTCTTCCTGCCACCCAGGATTCTCTGTCTGTCCCAGCCACAGCTGAGTGGGCAGGGGCTCCTGGCCTCAGCCCCCACCCTCCTGCACCCTTAGGTAGCAAGTGTCCTCTCCACGGCCCCTGGCTGCTGCACAAGACTTGCCTCCTTAGCATTGATGGTGGAGACCTCAGTGATTCCGGCCACCTGGATCACCCCTTTGGAGTCCTCCCTCAGCTCCAGGTACCCCAGGGAGGGGTTCAGCAGGTCCCGGATCATCTCATTGTAGATCTGATGGGAGGGGCAGGGAGAGGGCGTTAACGGGGCAATGAAGGTAAGGAGGTCCAGCAAGGGCCAAGTTCCCCTCCATGTCAAGCAAGCAGGAGACAGGAGCTCACACTTCCTGAGTTCCACTCAGAGAAGCCCTGATTAGAGGGAAAAGCCCCTTCTTTCTGTGGGGTGGGGCTGGGGGAGCTTTAGCACTCACAGGGACACATGTGGCTGCCAGAGCCAAGGTTACAGGAGGCTTCAAAGCCAAATGGGATCCCCTTTGCAGACCGGCCAGGCACTGGCAGGGCACAGGGACCTGATCAGTGGCAAGGCTCCGCACCAGGTGGGGGAGCCCTGTTCGTTGCCAGGTAGCCCTTATGCAACTCCTCCTGGATCCCCCCTGCCCACACAAGTGAGTGTTGCTGGCTGAGTCAACACCACGCTGGCTGGGCAGCCGCTGGCAGCTCTGCCTCACTGCCCTTCCTGAGCTGTCACCCAGGAGATTATCAGCTCCCGGAGGAGCCAGATGGAGTCCAGCCCACTGGCTCTTCCTCCTCTTCTTCTGGCCGCTGTGTGCACCCCCATCACTGCCTGGTGGTAGTGCTCCCACAGGGTGGGCACCAGGGGCTGTGGTTGGGAAGCAAAGGCCCGCAGGTTCAACACATACATGGCATATGTGTGCAGTTTTCACCTGTACCCACGTGCATGGAGTCCCTGGAGGTAGCCTGGCAGGGTAGATGGGGTCTGTTCTGAGGAATGGGCCCACGAGGATGGCAAGGTGGTAAGCCATCTGGGAGGGTGGCGGGGATCTGTGCTCATAACAAGATTGCTTTGGAGTGTGGATCGGTGGGCAGGGATCAGCTGTAAAGCCACAGGGCCCTGAGTTTGAATCCTGGCTCTCTCACTTGCTGTGTGACATTGACCTAGTTGCCTAACCTCTCTGAGCCTCAGAGTTTTGTAAAGTAGGGCTAACAGTACGCACACGGGAGAGCAGCAGCGATGAGCACCCCAAGAATCTGCCCAGCGACTGGCCCCACATCAGCGAGCCAGCCCAGTCCTCTGTGCCTCTATCCAAGTCTGGGTGGGGGGCTCACCTCCAGGTAGGACATGGACACCTCATATTCCATGTCGTTGCTGGTCTCCTCGATGGCACGGAAGAGGTCATTGAGGGTCCGAACGTAGATGCCAGGCTCGTGGTCTGTGCCCAGCATGGTGTAGGTTTTCCCACAGCCTGGGGCAGAACAGGGTGGTGGGAAGGCAGGGTGGGGGCCAGGAGTGAGGCTTTGCTTCCTCAACGCTAGGACCTGCCAGATGGCCAGGGAGGAGGAGGTGGACAGGGAGGATGATGTCCGTGGCTTGGGATGGGACCTTGGCAGCTGGAGGACCCTGGTTGGGGACTGATCAGCCTCATCCTTGATTCCCGCCCCAGCTGGACTAGTTCTGTAATGAGGGTGAGGAGCTTGGTCCTCAAGCGGGGGGGACAACAGGAACATTACACTCCTCTCACATGGTCTGGGCTTCCCCCTCACCTGTGGGGCCATAGGCAAAGACAGTGGCATTGTAGCCTGAGATGACGCCCTCAATGAGGGTCTTGGTGGTGGCCTGATAAACCATCTCCTGCAGGGAAGAGGAGACGAGTCAGAGGCCTGGAGCACAGGCAGGACAGAGGAGAGATGCCCACTGGCATGTCCTGGAGCCTGACAGGAGAGGTTCCTGTCCCTGGAGTCCCAGGCCTGAGAGAAGTGGGAGTGGGGAGTGGGGGAGGGGATGTCTCTGCTTACACCCCAGGGGCGGGGGGACACCAGCCTGAGAGAGAGTGCAGGACACCTGAGACGCCTCCCCCCACAGCTGGCTCTTGGCCCTCAGCCCTGAGGACACATCTCATCTGCTCCTGGGAGCACCCTGCAGATGGGCAGCACGGGGGTCCCCAGGAGGGTGTCAGTTTCCCCGCAACTATCCTCCGCCCACCTTCCCCACACCAGATGGGCTTCAGGCTGCTTCCTGCAGCTCTGACGGGGCGTGGTGTGTTGCATATGGGCAGCCATGTGGGAGGGCAGCTGAGTGCCTACCCAAGCGTGTCCATGAGGGAGGTGGGTGTACGCCCCCCCCAGGCACATGCAGCCTTTTACAAAGGGGGAAAACTCAGGGGTGCAGCTGCCTGAGGAGGTGGTGGAGGGAAGGCTCAGGGTCCATGGCAGGGTCCCCTGAGGGCCCCTCCCAAGTGGGCAAAGGGCAGAGCGGGGCTCTGTATGTCTCTGGGCCACGACCTTCCTCACCTGGGTGGCAGTGAAGTCAAAGGCCACGTCAAACAGGTAGGATTTTTCCCGGGAGCGGTGCGCCCGTAGGATGTCATCAGGGTCCTCCGTGGGGTCCATGAGAACCACTATCTGCAAAGGTCCCCAAGGGACCCGTCATTCTGGCCCCTTAAGTCCACTGTGTCAGCTGCAGGAGTTCACAAAGCCTGTCTGGACTCTGACCTCGCCCCTCCTCACCTCCAGAGGTGGGCAAGGAGTGGGAGGGGCCAGAGGCGGAGTTCACCAGCTCTCTGGGTGTCAGCTCTGGACTCCTGGCCTTGGAGGCCCAAAGGGAAAGCCTCTCTGACAGCTAACACCTGCCCCTCCAGGGCTGGCACAGTCCCAAGGGGGCAGAGAGCACCGTGTGTGAGCCCCAGACCCAGTGGTCCCTTCCCCTGATTGTGACACCAGACCCAAGCCACCTCTCCTGATGGTGGAGCAGCAACAGAGGCTGGGCTTTTATGAAGCATTTCTTTCATGCAGGCACCTGTTCCAAGCACTCTGCACACACCCCCATGAGGCCAGGCGGTAGGGCCAATTATCACTCCCATTTCACAGATGAGGAAATCAGGGTCCTACAAGACACTTGCCCCAGGGCATACATTAGCAAGTGGAGAAACCGGGGCTCAAAGCCTGGGATGTGGGTTCGAAGCCCACAGACTCTGAACCTTGTCCTGGGTTCATGCAGAGATGCAGAGGAAGCTGGATCCTTGCCAGGGGATCCTGGTCTAGAGTAGAGGTGGGGACGGGGTATGTACTAGACTCATGGAAATGATGGAAGATGTTCAAAGACATGTGGGAGGACTTGGGTTTGGGGGGATTTAAGCTGAGGGGAACAGGGGCAGGTGGGGTGGAGGTGCCCCTGAGAGGTGGCTGGCACCTCTAAGTGCTACTCCGTGCCTGGGAGCACCTGGGCTCCCTGGAGTCCTGACTCACGCCAGACAGCTGAGGGAAAACAAGCGGCAGCTGTGCTTGCTTCTAATGAGGCGGGAGGACACTCCCTGGGGGCTGCGAGTGCCAGACGGGTGGCCCCAGCCAGCATGGGTGCCTCACAAGGCTCCTCCTCTTCTAGTGGGAGGGAGGGCGTGGTGGGCAGCTGTCACTCTCAGCCCCCTCCTCCCAGTACATGAGAACAACAGCTAATGTTTTTGAACCCTTTTCATCAATTCATGATTATTATTCCCAGATGGGGAAGTCAAGGCACAAAGTCAAGGTCACTGTACACATTAGCCCTACCTAATTTGACCCTGGGTGATGTCCAAGGAGGTAAACTGAGTTCTAACAGATGGCAAGGCACTGAGGAAGACAGGCTGTCACAGGGCCACCTGAGGGAAGCAGAGACAGTGGCCGTGTTCCCTCCTGGGTCAGCAGGGGAGCCAGGGCTACTGACAGCCCCCCGAAGGGCTTAAGAACAGACAAGGCATGGGGACAGCCACCTAGAAGGGGCAGAGGAGGGGATGGTGAGCTCTGCAGGTTCTGGAGATCCCCAGGAGGTGCCCCTGGGTCCACCTCTGTCAAGGATTTAGGAAGCCCAGTGCCAGCAGAGCGACAGCTTGGGACCCACACCAGACTGCCTTCAGCATTCTACCTGTGCCCTGGGATCAAGCCCCCTTTCCTTCACTGTCTGGACTCCTGGAGTAGGTACCCTAAGATCCTCAGGAATCTGGTGAGGCCCCCTTCTGGGGTTCTTAATGGAGGAGGGAAGGGTGAGGGGCTCCCCAGGAGGCCAGACCCGGGAGCCTTGAGCAGAAATCTTATCCAATCAGATGGGATTCCAGGTAAGCCAGTTAAAGGGGAAGGCCCAGACAGGCTGGGCTGGGGCTTTGTGCAGAGAAAGAACAGGGCCACTGACTTAGGCCCCTCCCAGCTGACCAAAGCCTGAGTGGCCACAGTGAGCCAAGTGCCAGGAGTCTGGGCTTGCACTGCTATTACCCGGGGTGCCCACTTGTCCCTAGCCAGGCCACCTCCCCAGGGTCTCGGCTGCAATGCCCTCTAAGCCTCTTCCAGGATCTACTCTGCCCCAGGGCCCAAAGCCAGCAGCATGAGCCCTGCTCAAGTTTCGGACCCAAGTGAAGATAAAAGCTGGCTAATGTCCCCTGGCATGGGTCCCCATGGGAGGCAACAGGAACCTGACCAGCCGTACCAGCTCTCACCTTGAATGCCAGTGCACCTGTGGACACGGGTAGGGCCGGTGGCCTGGGGGCACTATCTGGAGACTTCAGTTCTGGGGAGGGCAAGCAGCAGACACTGATTCCCCCCTCCCACACTGATGACTTTCATGTGACCTCCAGGCACCGCCAAGTTCACGGAATCGTGGGCATCTGGTTCCTTTGATATTTAGGCTGCCACGATCTCTGCTTAAAGAGGGCTTTGTGTGGGTTCCATCTGTCTGTGCTCCAGCGCATCAACCCCCATTCCTGGCCACTCAGGCACACAATTGGAGCCCTTGTGCCCCTAGGCCAGGTGAACTGGAGCTGAGCTGGGGATGGGTGGAAAGGGATGCTCTGGGATGCCATCGGCCCCAGCACAGGGTGTTCAGGCCAGTTCAACATGTTTGCTGAACCTTTCCATGTGCCAGGCGTGGAACAAGGCCGCAGGGAAGAGAGAGAAAAGAGAGGCCAGGTTTCCTGCCTTCTGACACTCACAGATCATTTTATTAACCAGGAAAGTGCCAGAGCATAGAGGAGAGGCACCTAATCCAGCCCTGCCACTAGAGGAGGTCTTCTTGGAAGAGGTGGCATCAGCACTGGGTCTTAAAGGATGAGCAAGAGGTGGCCGAAAGAGGTGAGGTGGGGCGAGAATACTAGAGAAATGCATGAGGAAGGCCCAGAGGTGAGAGGCAGGCCATGGGCAGTGGTTCTCAGCTGAGATCAGTGAGGTTTCTCGGGAGAAATACGGAGTTGGGAAGAGAGCCGCGGAGTTTCACCTTTTAATCCTCCTTGCAAGGAATCGCCCTGGCATAGACCCAAGAACTCACATGTGCATCTGCCTGTCCCCACCCGCCCAGGGCTCCCTCCGTGAGCACACACAGTCCCTGCTCTGGGAATCTCCCACACATCCACCGAGGCTCCCTCTAAATGTCACCTTGGCTGGCACATAACATATGCCCGAGGGACGTTTGCTGACCAGAGCTGTTCACGGGGAGGTGTGAGTGTGCCGGGCACAGTGCTAAGGGCTTGCACATGCTTTTCCTACTCTCCCTGACCACTTACGAGTGGGCAGCTTATGATCACTGGACTGCGGATGAAGAATCAGACTGGTTAATAGTGTAACCAAAGCTGCATGCAAAGTGCGGAGCTGGTGAGATTCAGAGCTGTTTGGTTCCGGAACCCAGGCTCCCGACCACCAGCCTGCCCACTGCCTGGCTGGGTGAATGCCCACCTATTAGGGGTTGAATTGTGTCCACCCCTCACCCAAATCATAAGTTGAATTGAAACCCAGTACCTTAGAATGTGACATGATTTGGAAATAGGGTCGTTGCAGATGGAATTAGTTAAGTGAGGATGAGGTCACACTAGAGCAGACTGGGCTCTTAATCCCATATGACCAGTGTCCTTATGGAAAGGGGGAATTTGGACAAAGATAAGCACAGAGGGAAAACGATGTGAAGGCACAGGGAGAAGGTGACGTCCACAAGCCAAGGAGGGGGGCCCGGAGCAGATCCCTTCCTGCTGCCACCCCGATTTCAGATTTCTGGCTTCTAAAACTGTGAGACAAGTTTCTGTTGTTCAAGCCACCAGTGTATCGCATTTTGTCATAGCAGCCTTGCAAACAAATACACCACCCAAGGCAGGCTCACCTGCTGCAGGAGGGTGAGTGTTGCTGGAACCCCAGGTGGGGCTTCAGCCAGCTGCTCCACCAGCCCTCAGGGGGTGGGCTTAGCATGGGCGGTCTCCCTCACCGCCCCAGGGGATACATTTTCATGCCGCTGGCACACTGGGCACCTGCCTCTGGGAGGTCTCAATGAGGACGTTGCTCACACAGGATGCACAGGGGCCTTTCAGTGCTGGCAAGAGGGTGGGACAGCCAGGAAGGGAAGGTGGGAGGCTTCACGACAGAGCCCTGCCTCTCTAGGCCCAGCTGCCCCTGTAGCTCCGGACCTCCTAAGTCAGCAGAGGCCCCAGCTTGAGCCTCCCCCTCGATGACCTCCCCTCCCAGCCATGCTGTTAGATCAATGCAAATTGTGAACTGGAGTTCCAGACCAACTTGGAGTCTTTGAGAGGGGAAACTCAAGATCCTGTAGGGAAGCAGGGGTCTCAGGCCAGGGAGATGGCATCTCATCCATAAGCCATGTCCCCATCAGGGACCAGGCTCTTTCCTAGCACCTCCTAGGTGAGAAATGCATGGCACCAAGCACGTCAGAGCTCTCCCTGCTGCACACCACTAAGCTGCGGGTGCTTTTGTTAGTACACTGCAGTTTTGACAGGATACTTGCTGGCCTCCAAATGGCGGAACCTAGCCAATGGTTTCTCAACCTTGGCACTACTGACCCTTTAGGCTGGATAATTCTCTGTTGGGGGCTGTTCTGTGCATTGTACAATATTTAGCAGTGTCCTCTACCCACTAGATGCCAGTAGCACCCTTCTCCCCGGTTGTGACACTGCCAAATGTCCCTGTGGGGCAAAATGGCCCCCTGTTGAAAACTAGTGACATAGACTATTCTTCCTCCAGCTTCCAAGACTGGCAGTAAAGATCCCCAAGGGAGGGGGTGCCACAAATGGGGCCCAGGTTTGACACTGCTTTGTGACCTTGAGCAAATGGCATCGCTTCTCTGGGCCACAGGTTTTGCATAGTTGGAAGTTAAGGAGGACCAACAGGCCATAACCTTGAGAGAAGAAATCACACCAGCACCCCATCCTGCTCAGGAAGCCTCAGCAGAGAATCAGCTCTGGCTTTATCCCCAGTCCAGGGAGCCAGGCCCACAGCCCCTTTGTTCTCATGGGTGAAAACAAAACACAGCAAAATAAAAAGCTGATTCTAGGTGGATGTCACTCCTATAAGGCTGTTGCCATTTTTTGTTTGTTTTCTTTAAGAAGGAGAATCTGTTGCTCATCATATTTCTAGTTGTAAATGTACTGTCCTGTGAGTCCTCAATAATGGAGACTTTGAGGCCGGCCCGTGGCTCACTCGGTAGAGTGCGGTGCTGATAACACCAAGGCCACGGGTTCGGATCCTATATAGGGATGGCCGGTTTGCTCACTGGCTGAGCGTGGTGCTGACAACACCAAGCCAAGGGTTGAGATCCCCTTACCGGTCATCTTAAAAAAAAATAAATAAATAATGGAGACTTTGATCCTAGGAAGGGTGTCCCTGGGCCCTGTCAACCCACAGGATGGATGGAAAAGGCCAGAATGGAGACTGCTGAGCTTGTAAAGCCACCAAGGCCCAGCTGGCTGCTTAGTATAGAGTTGCATCTGGCTGATGTACTGGTCAGATCCCCACCTGGCTATAGGATTCTGAAAACCCCAAGGCTCAGGATGGTGGGAGGGATGACCTAGAAGATAGTCTAAGGCTGTGTCTCTCAAAGGGTCTGCTGATGCCTTTATCAGAGTCACCCAAAGAGCTTGAATAATGCAGATTCTCAGATACCATGCAGATTCACAGAGTCAGAATCTCTGGGGAGTGGGCCTATAAATCTGAATTTTTAACACCCTCTCCTTGTACCCCTTTACTTGCTAAGTGTAAGAATCCTTACATCCTAGCAGCATTACACACAATAGCCAAAAAGTGGAAACAACCCAAGTGCCCATCAGCTGATGAATGGATAAACAAAATGTGGTATATACACACCGTGGAATGTTACTCAGCCATGAAAAGGAGTGAAGTTCTGTTACCAGCTATAATGTGGATGAACCTCGAAAACATTATGCTAAGGGAAAGAAGCCAGACACCAAGAGTCACAAACCGATTGACTCCATTTACATTAAATGTCCAGAATGGGCAACACACAGATGGAAAGTAGTTTAGTGGCTACCTGGGGCTGGGAGGGACTGGGGAGATGGGGGGATATCTGAGGGGGGCAAGGTAAAGAATCCTCACACCCTCCCCTGCTCACTGTCTACCACGCTCAGCTCTGTGTGCAGCAGGGTTGAGAAGCATCCAGATGGCAGGTGTGCAAGGAGCCCCCAGCCCGCTGCCCCCCCATCCCAGCAGGCAAGTGGGCTGAAGGAGGCTGCCCCACAGCACTCGGTCTCTGGCATTTGGCATTTGGCATCTGTCACCTTATACTTTATTTATCTTTCACAACAGCCCCAGCATCTGCGTGGCCACTGGTCTCTTTTACATGATCTCCTTTAATCCTCTCAACAGCTCTTGGAGTGGGTGGAGCAGGCTCTTGTTCTGCTGTCTTCTGATGAGGTCTCTACCCAGGGAGGATCTCTGGCTTCCCCACCCACTCTGGGCAGGACACGGCAGGGCTGGGTCTCTGGTTCCTGGGGCCCTGGTTGTAGTCTTTGTTCTGTTGGGATCCCAGGGCACCTCTTACGCTGCTCTCTCCTTTCTGCCCCCCATGTCACACTGTCCAACCTAGTCTCCCTCAGTGGCCCCTCTGCCTTCTCTCGTCTTTTCCCTCCCACCCTCGCCCTGCCCTCCTGGCCTTGGACCCACTGCTGGGCCTCCTGGAGGGCCCTTGCCTGGCTCTGAGGGTCCCCAGGAGCAGCGGGGGTGGCAGTTGGGCTTTGAGCAGATAAATGCTAATTATGGGATTATGCACATTATCCGTTGACTTCAGTCCTGCAGACAATCACAGCCTGGAAAGCCGGGAGGAGGGTCAGCAGGCTGCGGGCTTGAGGGGGGTGGGGATGGGGGAAGCAGAAGGCGGCTGTTTATTCTGGAGTCTCTTACCCCACCCTGGAACTCTGGGGCCCCACCAGCCTTTCAGGCTGTCCCAACCCCTTGCCACCATCAATGGCATCTCTGAGGGGTCTGGTTTTAGGGTCTAGTCTCATTCCAGATGGTACTAAGAGACAGAGCTCCTACCACACTTTCCCAGGAACACCTACATGGTGACCATTTAGGGACTGTACTAAGAGCTCTGACACAGGAATTGGGAAAGTGGGAGGCAGGCTGGGTTTTACTTACCTCTGGGGCCTGAAACCATCCCATATTTAAGCCCTTGAGATGAACTAACATGTGCCAGGCACAGTGCATACATTAGCCCACAGGGACCTACTAAAGGAGGCATTAAGATTACTGTCGGAATTGAACTGGGACCCTGGCCTGCTGAGGTATCTTTACAAATCCAAACGCTAACTCCACCTTCTCCACAATCCAGGCACACTGGCCTCTTGTCTCTGAGGACACTTTGCCCGTGGGAGTGACCACCCTGTCAAGCCTCATTGCTACTATCTCCCACATCCCAAATATCCACAGGAGAGCAATGCCCAGCCCTAAGAGGGCTATCCCAGGACTCCTCATGGTGGCCCAAGCCCGTGGGTGGCTGAGTCTCCAGTCCACCTCTCCCCACTCAGGACCCACTGATGGGGGGGCTGTGGCAGCTCCCACCTCCCTGCTGACCACCAAGGTGCTGAGCCCTCAGTAGTCAGCTCTGGGCTGCTCTGCTCGGCAGCTCCTCCACCGTCGGGCCTGAGATGGCACCAGCAGAGGAAAAGCAACCCCCCAGATGCAAGAGGCACAGCCCAGAACCCATGGGCAGGAGGACCTGGCTTGGGGAGACCCTCGGAGCGGCTGGGCCATGCAGACCATGATAGTCACAACCAAGAGAGCCTTAGACAGCAGGTGGAGTTCCCAACCCAATGTCTTCCCTAGAGGCAGGCACTTGGGCTCAGCCACACCTTTGCTGGAGAGAGAGATCACCACCATGTTATCCTGGGTGAGCTCCCAAAGTCACCTCATTGGCCCATGCGGCCTCTGGGCCTCAGGAGGAAGGAGCAGAGCTTCAACTGATCGCTGGCCCATCAGTGACGCTGACCAAGACTGGACCCCCAAGCTCCCCTGCAGGCCAGGGCTGCAGATGAACTGTGGGGCCACTGGAGAGGGGCAGAGGTCAGGGGCAGGGGGCTGGTCAGTGCGGGAGGCCGGGGGAGACGGATGCCCATTTTGCTTCTTGGATTCGTGCATCTTCACCTCCGACTTGCCAGGGCCTGACTTGTCAGAGAAACAGCTTGTTCTCAGGAAGTTCCCAGCCTGGAATATGCTGTGGCTCCTCCCAAACGGTAGGTCTTGGGCAGCAGGGCTGGGCCCGGCCCCCAGGGCAAGCCCATCTTCAAATGCACTGGGGACAGGAGCAGGGGCCAGAAGCCTGCAGGGAGTTTGCGAGGAGAGCCTGGAGCCACACTGCTCAGACAACCCTCTGTGTCTCTCAGCTGACAAAGGAGCAGCCCTGTTAAGGCTGCTGAGCTCGGGGCTTCTCAGAGGCGTAGCTTGGCTGGATTCGGCCGGACCCAGGAAGGGAGCCCGTCTTTCTGCACTCACAGAATCAGAAAGGAGGCAGTGTTTGCCGGGTGTGGGCAGGATGGGCTGTACCCTTGACAGGGAGCGTTTCCATCAGCGTCAGTTAATATTTATCAGCCCCCACACCGGCCGGGAGCCAGGAATAGCAGAGAGAGAGACATCATTGTCCCAACCCCAGGACCTGATATCTGGGGGGACAAGTTGGACACACTGGGAGTGGCCTTGCCTGGAAGGAGGTTTCTCCTCCTGAGCTCTCTTCAGGGCTGGCCCCTCTCATCAGCCAATCCAGCAGCCCTGGGGAATTTCAGTCTTTCACAGAAAAACGATGCTAACGTCTTTTAAATGTTTCCGTGTGCCAGGCAGGCACTGGGCAGGTGTGTGCACACACTGGCCCACAAAGACCCTCTACAGAAGGCATACGGCTATTGTCCCCACACACAGGTGAGGCTACCGAGGCTCCTGGAAGCACCCCCCTCCCCACCCAGGGCCACACAGCTGGCAAATGGCAGACCCTGCCCTACATTGCTGTTCATGTACATCCATGCTGCTCCAGCTGGGCCCCAACAGTTTCGATGGGGTCTTCACAGTCATCCCCTGCTTTCCCTGAGGTCTTGGAGGAACGCAATCTTTCCCAAGAAGGAGTAGGAAAGAGAAATCAGGAGGCTGGGACCAGTGGCTCAGCCGTGCCTACAGCTCCACATCACGCTGAAGGAAGAGGCGCGGGGGCACCTGTCCAGGGAGACCAGAGGCAGGCAGGCATTGCAGGCCGTGCCATCCACCTCCTGTTTGTTTATCATGGCCCTTGGGCTCTATAAGTCCAGCCTGAGGGATCTTGGCCCAGGTGCAGCAGGTGCCCACCTGTGCCTTTCTCCACCGCACAGTGCCATCTGACTTCTCTCACCCACCAGCACATCCCAGCACTGACACTCCTACCCAGGCACCGAGCCTGCCCCTGCTTCCCCCACCACTGTGCCCATGCCCACCCTGGCACCCCAGTCCTCACCTGCCTGCCCAAACAAACACCCTGGCCGTGGGCTCCTGTGTGGGGTGTGCACCCCCCACCAGGCTCCAGCCTCATCCACTCTTGGCCTCTCTCTCTGCTGCTTGAGCCACACTGAGCTTTCCTCAGTTACCCAATTGCATCACAATCCCTCTCACCACAGGGCCTTTGCACACGCCTGTCCCTCTGGTTGGAGTTTCTGCCCTCATGCACACTCCTGATTACATCCTCTTCACCCCTCATGTTTCACCTCAAGCACCATTTCTCGAGAGCCCTCCCTGACCTCTGGGACTAAGTCGCGTCCCCTCTGATTGTCGTGTCACTATGCATTTTGTTGCGGGGCTAGTTAGCTGCAAACTCACATTTGCTTCAATTCTTTGATTGACACCTCGTGTTGCCACACTGAGCTGGTTAGGCAATGGGGAGAGGACAGGGTCTTTTCTGTCACCACAGTTTTCTAGCTCCCAGCATGGTCCCCAGCATGTTGCATGTACTTGATAAATATTTATTGCCTCGTGTGCCCCACCCACCTCATCATGGTGATGTGAGGACCAAGATTGCAAACAGACAGCCAAGGATTTTGCCAAACACGCACACTCTAGAGGTGAGCTCTGGCTCTAGACCATATATATACATGCTCTATGGGTAGCAGACATACTAAGGTGGGAAAGCCAAGCTATGGGCACATGGAAGGTAAATGATCAGGGCCCACCCAGGCTAGGGAAGCTCTCAGCTCTCCTTGGATCAATCTAGGAAGGCTTCCTGGAAGAAGAGCCCCTGGCTCCTTGACAATGTCACTAATGGCACAGCAAGTAGAGAAGGGATGGAGCTGTTGGCCACGGGGGTCCTTCCTGCCCCCACCATGTGGGCTGAGCGATCTGAGCAGATGTCTGCCCTGCAGTCCCCATACCTGCTCGTCCACTTTGTGGGCGATGAGGGTGGCTCCTTCCTCCAGCTCTGCCACACTGATGGGCCGGACCCGGAGTGCCACCTGGGGGGGAAGACCACATCCCTGGGATTAGCAGAAGGCTGTGCAGCCCCAGAGAGAACAATGAGAAGCCCTCGGGACTCCCCCCAGCCCCAGGCAAGCTCCATGGGTTCTCCTGTGTCCAGCCATCCCAGGCCTCCTTTGTCCTGAGGAAAATCCCATGATTCAAGGGCACCACTTAGGTCAGAGGGCAGCGGGTCCACAGGTTGTCAGGCTATGTCTGAGTCTATGAATCTCCCCAGGAGCCTGGGCCTCAGGGAGAGCCCTAGAGAAGAGAGCTGTGTGCTCCTCCAGGCTGCATCAGTCACACGCCCAAATTAAACACCAGCTGCTCCCCTGGGTTTGAACTTGGAGCCTTTGGCACTGGAGCAGCCCATCTGTGTGTCTGTGAATGATGTGCTGCCGCTGAAGGCGTGGGCATGGTGGCTGTGGGATGGGGCCTGGCAGTTAAGACAGAGAAGGAACTTCCCCTCATCGGGCATCCCAGCAACCGTGACCACAGGCCCACCCCAGGAGAGTGCAACTGAGGTCCCGTCCTCTGTGTATTCTCCAGCCTGAGGGAGACAGTGAGCCTTCATCTAATGCATGGGTCTCCCCAAAGATTGGGGGGTGGGCTAATGCATGGGTCTCCCCAAAGGTTGGGGGGTGGGGAGCGTGTCTTCTACTGATCAAAGGGAAACAGCTGCTGGTGTGAAGGTAGCCCTAGCTAATGGGTCCTCCTGCCCAGTAAGGACACTTCACTTTTGGAGGGACCTACACTGCCTGTCAGATCATCTTTAGTGGCCTCCTTAGCCAGACTCCACTGCTGACGGGAGGGCAGGACACTTTGTCCCTGCTCCGGGGAGCACACCACACACACCAAGGCAAACCATTTTCAAAGAGACACATTCTAAACTGCCAGAGAGGATGTTCCAGAGCCCAGGGCTTGCTTGGGGCTGGGGCCGAGGCTCCTCTTTGGAGAAGCAAGCTTGCCCTACAGAGGTGGCTGTGTCTAGGGGTGACATTATCCCCCAGTTACATCACCACCCACCTGCTGGTGAGGAAGGCCCATTCCCAGATCTCAGAAGTCAAGGGCTGGAGAGGGGCTGAGAGGAGGGCAGCACCCACCCCAAGCCTAGTGGCGGCCTTGGGGTCACTGAGTGATCCCTTCCTCCCTCTGGCCCAGCAGTACTGATGACCAGGAATCTCTGTCTTCCATCTGTACCCACCTGCCACAGCGCACACTCCCACCTTCTCATCTGTCCCGACCACCAGGGCCCTCGGGGCCATCCTGGCAGCTACTACTAGCTCTGCTCTGAAATATGTAGAGTCCTGACTTGGACATCATCTTTGTTGTCGCCCAATAACTAGCCAGTCCTGACCCCATGCTGCTCCTCTGGCACGGGATGGGGGACGGAGGGGCCTCTTGTCTTCCTACCAGTGACCCCCACCTCTCTTTAAATTCCCTACCCCACCAGGACAGGGGCACTCCCTGGTTCACCAGGAAACTCCCTCCTTCCCTTTGAGCTCTGCCCCGGGCTTTTCTTTTCAGATCAAAGAGCAGCCTTGCCCCAGAGACCCTCTGAACAGGCTTTGGGGGCACGGTCCCCCATACGAGGGTGTGAAAAGGGCAGTGGGGTTGCGGTTGGGCTGACTTGTCAGTCCTCATAAGGATGGCCGTGATACCTTCTCCATACCCATCCTCTAGGACTTGGGCAAAGTTGGTCTGGACAGTCCCAACCCCTGACCCTTGCCTGTCCTTAGAGGGGTGGGCGTGAGGGGACAGGACCGCCCTGTCTGTTGGAGGCCGACCGAGGTAGTGCGGGCTCCGGGGCCACGGAGGGGGGCGAGGAGGAGGTGGAAGGGGTCTCACCATGAGCTGCTGGTCCTTGGAGTCCCCGCTGTCCTTCATGCTTGCGGAGGGCGGAGGGGCTTAGGCCACGACCCCGGGCATGGCCGAGCTGCACCCCCACCGCCGCCGGGTCCCGCCTGCGCTGCTCGCTGCCTGACAACCCGAAACCAACGACGCGCCCGCGGCCAAGGGCGCTGACCGGGAGGCGGGGCAGGAGGCGGAGCGGGAGGCGGGCACA